ACTGCAAGCTGCCGGGACGCCATGCCCTCACGCAGCCTCTCAGCTAAATGCTTAGCACTGCACCGTCTTTGTGACGCCTCGCTGTCCCCCGGCTCTGCTCAGCCTCACAGTCCCAGGAACCCAACTAGAGAGCAGCCATGGGCCTGGGGAGAGTGTCCCGGAAGGCGCCGCGCCCTCTTCCCTCCGCGAGCAAAAAGAAGTTCCGAGTTCTGATCCGGCTCCTGGGTCCAGAGGAGCCTCCTCAGAGGCCCAGCGTGTGCATCTCCCTGCAGGAAGTCGCTGCCCCCGCGCTCTGTCCCGAACCTCTGCTTTTCTCCCTAGACAAAGTACCAGAGCAAAGCCTTAAGCAAACCTGAGGGGAGGAAAGCTTTCCCTTTCCCTTTAGGGAGGGCGGAGTCTTGGCAGAAGCTGGGGCCCTAAGAGGTCTCCCCACGGCCTAGGCAGAAAGGTAAGAACTCAGTCAAACTACAGGTAGGCAGTATCTTCAGCCCCTTCCCTCCCGAAGCCACCTCAGCTGCCCTTGTGGGCATCATCAACCCGTCCTTTCTCCTCCTCGCGTTTCTCTCTTCCTGCTATCCTACCTTCTGCCAACCTTACCCCTGGAAAACCAGTGAGGAACCCAAGAAATTGAGCAAGAAGCTTTTAAGGAAGGTGTTTTTATTCTTCAGGGACAAAGATGGGGTCTCTTAGGCACTCCAGCTACTGATCGTGGACATTTAATCAGAATGCCCAGCCGGAAAAATGGAATCTTCTCCCCTAAAGCCTGTGGGGAAACCAACGTCTTTATTCAAAAGAAGGAACATAAAGTGCAAACTTTTTCTTCTAAATGGGAAGGAATAAGACCCATCTCTTTCCACAAGTAGCGACCACCACGGAAAGAAAGCAGGAAAGCTGGTGCAAACAGGAAATCTTCTAAATTCATAGTGCCTCTTCTTTCCAAATCTAGCTGGATTTTCTCACTTGCTTTCCTTTTGAGGCAGCAAATTGTCTGCATTTTACCTAAAAAAAAAAAAAAAAAAAAAAAAAAAGTTTAGTATGTTTCCAGGGGAAGGTGCTGGCTTCTTCAATATTCGTGTTTCCTGTTGTAACACAAAAGCCTAAGCTACCCGCATCTGGAGACTGGGGTGGATGCACAGAAGCAGCACTGAGCCCCTGAATCCGGGAGAGGGGCAGGAGGCTTTGGGCAGTGTTTAACAGCAGCCCACAGCAAAGGGGTGGTGGTGGTGGTGGTGGTGAATAGGAGACAGTAAACCGCACTGTTCACTTGGCTGTGGCTAAATGACGACACTATGCTGTCAAGGAATATGTACAACGGTTCTCCTGACGTTCACATTTGTGTATGTTTGATAATAAAATCACCAAATAAAATACAGGGTGCTCATTTAAATTTCAAATTTAGAGAAGGAACCATTGCATAGGACATAGTTATACTTTTAAAAAGTTATCCGGTGTAGTGGTGGATGCCTGTGATTTCAGCTCTTTGGGAAACTGAGGCAGAAAGATCACAAGTTCAAGGCCAGCCTGGGAAACAGTGAGACTTTGTCACAAAATAAAAAATAAAAATGGCTAAGGATGTAGCCCAGTGGTAGACTACCTCCCCTAACCCCCTGGCCCCTGCTTTAAATCCACAGTACTGCCTAATCCTAATTCTAACACTAATCCTAATAAATTCCCTTGTTTTTCTGAAATTCTTTTTTTTTTTTTTTTTTTTTTTTTTTTTTGTACTGGGGATTGAACTCAAGACCCTGTGCTTGCCAGGGTCTGAAATTCAAACTTGATTGGGCAACCAATATTTTCGTTTCCTAAATCTGACAACCTTATTATAGAAAGATGGGGAAAATGTGAAAGAAAACACGCTAGTGGTGGGAGATAAGGAAAAACGGTATAGCAAGACCAAATTAGTCCATTCTTCAAGGTTACAAACACACACACACACACACACACACACGCGCGCGCGCGCATGCACAAAGGAACTTAAAAAAAATACTTTGGCCCACTTGACGCTAGGTCTACCATATATTAAATGAAGAACGTGAATGGTAAAGAGCACACTAAGATAACATGTAGGGGGAAAGCAGCAGGTAAAGCAGTTTGTTGGTTTGTGTGAGTGAAATAAAGTTTTAGAAGGATGCCCCGAGGCTGCTGAAATTGGTATTTCAGGTATTGGGAAAGTGGGATAGGTAGGGGGAGTGACTAGCTTTGCCTTTACCCTTCAAGCTATAGTGCAAACTCTTTTGTTTTATTATTTACAACAAAATCTGCTTCAGTGTTTTTTTAAAAAAGGTTGAAGAAATAAGGCATCTAGGCCAGAGTTTAAGAAGAAAAGGTGGCGCTATTCATGTGGAGTAGACTGGGTTCTCCCACTCTCCATGTACCATCCTGTGGAAGGCACTATATACACCTTTTTTGTCGTTTCCTTATCTGTAAAATGAGGATAAAATACTTGTCTGTTCTTTATAATGGAGATTAAATATTTATCAAGAGCTTCGCATTGTAACTAGCACACAATGTTTAGCTACCTCTAAGGCCAGTTCTTATTATTACAGGAAAATAATATAGGATGGAAAAAGCCAGGACACTGAGGAATATGGCTGTGGCCTTGCTTTGCTGGAGGCTGGATGCTACCCGATTCAGGATTGGGAGGAAGATAGTTCTGCTTCCTGGGCCTCTCTTGCTTTATCCATACTTTGAGGGAGATACACTGGCCTTCAGTTTCATTCATTTACTCCATAGTTTTGGAGCACCTGCAATGCACCAGCCCTTAGGGCAGGGAGCTGGAGACACAGAAGTGAAAGATCTGGCTCACCTTCAAAGACAACCCAGTCTTGAAAGATGACACAAAAAAGGCAAGTGTCCTGTGCTATGTCCTTGGGCATCCAGGGAAGTGGGATACAGGGAAGGTCTCCCCAGACACACTATGGGCAAACATCCTGCAGATATTTGATCCTTTAGATGCTGCCCTGCGGGTTCACAGCCAGGTAGGGAGAGAACAGAGACTGGGTACCTGATGTTGGTTCAGGGTGGGCAGGGGAAGCAGGATACCACACTGAGAACATGTACTCAGCATGTCATAGGTGGCCTCATTCTCCACAGGAGAGGCCACCCATGGGTTGAGCTCAGATTTTGAAGGCAGATCCAGGGTTCCGTCTGTGTCGCTTGGTGTTTGCTTTGTTGAATTTTCAGAAAGGAAAGGAAATCCATTTATACTTTTTGTCTTTGGACGGACATCTCTCTCTGCTGTGGGAGTTTGGTTTCCACCAGTACGACTTGGAAAGGATCTAAGCAGTTTTCTTAGAGGCTCGGAGGCTGCAGAACAGTCATCCTGCAATTGTAATACATCAAATAAAAAAAAATGACTTTAATTTTAAGCATTGGAAAGTATGCTTGGCTAGATACCCTGAAAATTTCCCACTAAGAATTTAGAAATCATGAGCAGAATATAACAGACATTCAAGATCAGGGCTGATGGCAAGAAAGAAAATTTTGATTTCTAGGAATGAAGGCCTGCCAAGTGTTACAGTTTGAATGTGTTCTACCCAAATTTTCAGTGCGGGTGATAAAAGGTGGGGCCTTCAAGAAGCCTATAAGAGGTTATCAGGGTTCCTTCTTTATTCATGGGAGTAAGGATTTTTTTTTTTTTTCAGAGCACTAGTGATTGAATCCAGTACCTTCACACTGAACTATATCTCCAGCTTTTGTTTTTTAAATATTTATTTATTTATTTATTTGGTGCAGGGTCTCACTACGAAGCTGGGACTCATAGTGATCTTCCTGTCTCAGCCTCCCCAGTGCTGGGATTACAGGTATGCATTACCACAGCTGGTTTTGGTGGTCAGAACAGTGAGTGTGCCAGCACCATGTGGTACTGGGGATCAAACCCAGGTCCTTGCACTTGCCAGGCAGGTGCTTAGACAGCTGAACTATCTCTTCAGCCTCTAGCTCTTTTTAATTGTTTAAATTTTGAGACAGGATCGCAGAAGGTCCCTAAGTTGCTCAACTGGTCTTTCTTCTGCCTCAGCCCCCAGAGTGCTGGGATAACAGGAGTGCACCACCATGCCTGGATGGGATGAAAGGTTTATAAAGGAGGAGCCATGAAGCATTTGGCTAATTGGCCTTTCTGCTTCTGCTATGGGGACACACAGCAAGAAAGTCCTTACCAGATGGCAGAGGCGGGCACATGAGCTTGGACTGCCAGTCTCCAGAAATGTGGGAAATAAATTTCTGTTCTGTATAAATTTCTGTTCAGTACTCTGCTACAACAGCAAAACTAGACTAAGACACTGGTTAAACTCATGATCTGACATGTTGGTTAATATTATAACTAGGGGCTTGGATGGAGAAAATTCCATCCACACAAGATGGAGAACTGGAAGATTGCTCTTCCCCTGTGAGGCTTAAAGGAAAAATTATGGTGGATAAGAGAAAAGAATCAGCTCATTAGGAAGGAAGAGGGCCAAGAAGTTTGAATACAGGGCATAAAAATTTGTGCCCCTACAAACTCAAAATCACAAGCCCATGCCATTCTTGTGTTTGGGTTCAGATTTACATTAGCTGTATGGTCTAGAAATCCTCAAGCAGAAGAATAAAAATAACAATAAACATAAAAATTTAGATCCCAAAATTCTTCCAGAGGGTATATAGCCTCAAAATAGGTCATACAGGATTTTCACAGAACACTAACAAACAGAAACTCACAACCCTAAAATACAAACTCACAACCCTAAAATACACAGTAAGGAATTCCACCTTGAGGAAAAATAGATGACAACCAAGAGCGGCACTTGCCTCCAAGACGTTTAGCTGTGAGAAGGCTACCTAGGAAAGCCATTATTCGTGACCATAGGAGGAAAGCAGATCTACAGGCAGCTGAAGATTTACTATTTACAGGTTCGTGCTGAAAGAACTAAAAGATGTCTTTTAGCATGAAAAAAAATCTTGGTTTGGGGGCTGGAGAGATAGCCTGGTAGTCTAAGCACCTCCCCGGCAAGCACAAGGTCCCGCGTTCGATACTGCATGCCGTGCTGGCCCTGTGAGACCCAGTATCAAAAATAAAAACAAAATAAAACAAAAAAATCTTGGGATCCAAGGAAGAATGTGAGTAAGAAGAAGAGTAAACTTGTGAGTATGCACAAACAGGCATGAGGTGCCTAACAAATATAACAACATTGATGAGTAAAGAGGGGTAATGAAAAAACAAAGAGGAAAAAATTAGGGCTACCCGTCATACAAAATGGGATGTGTGAATCAGAGTTAATCACTTCTTAAAACCATATGTTCGTAAGAAAGGTAAAGGTAATGATCATTTTAGACTTCATTCAGTTAAATTTTCATATTAAGATGTAGTTCATGATACAGATGAATGTCCATTTTGTATCTGTGTTCAAAATGGTTAGGATAGATATATAGTTACATTCTCTTAATGAATAGAGGGATTTGTTCTAATGGTGTTTGTAAATAGGAAATCATGTCTGCATCTTGTACAGCAAACAACCACTAGCAAGAGAGTATGCAATATGTTAATTATTGAAACTGTCCTACCGGGCTGGTGAGATGGCTCAGTGGTCTAAAGCACC